ACAAGCAGCTGAAAAGATCTTGTTTGGTGCTGTTTTTTTTCCCCACAGAGTTTCCATTGACACAAAGGAAAAGGTTAGATGGATTCATGAATTCATGCATTGTGGCTTAATGAGTCACCAGCAATCATGACAGTGGCAGAAACTCAGTGCAAACCTGCTCTTTTTTTAGGGCAAATTTTAGGTAGAAAGTGACTGTTTTTTGTATCTTTTCCTGGAAAGGTTTGTTACACTACAATTCAGCATCATGAAGTTTCTCCTATTTTAACCCAGGCAGTGTCTCCTCCTCAGTTTCAGCCCAAATTTGGAGGGGAGCAGTGATTCGCCTGTAGTGCGGTAATGTCATCAGATCTGTGCCCTGGGTCCTTTGAATCAACCACCGCAGAATCCAAGCTTGGAAAGCATGATTCATGGTTCCATTTTACCCAAAGCACTAGTCTTCAAAACGCTCAGCTCTGGGGATACCTGCAAGTCCACAGACTCTGCTAAACATATTTTTTTTATGAAACAGAAATATTCCCTCTGACTCAATGCATCCAATAAATGCTAAGCTGCTGTTTTGGCTTTTCCATGCTTATTCCAGATGACAGCCTAAAGTCTTCATATTCTCTTTCTGGGAGAAATTAATTCTACCAGGTTTCTTACAACTTGTTAAAAAATCTAAAGTTAAATAGCCACAACTCAGAAATATTTTTCCCCCACTGTGAGTTCTACTTTGCCATCACACAATGAGAAAAATGATTTTTTTTTGTAAAATACGAATTTGTCAGAAGTCACTTCTGGCTGTTGAACATCATTTGCAAACTTTATGAGGATTTATAAGAATGTGGAAGGTGTTCTTCTCAGCTGCCTGGATTGAAGGAGTCAATAAGATTGGGCTATCCTGCATACTGAAAATGTCTCTCAGAAACACAGCCTAGTTTTTATGTAGCCATTTGACCTTTAAAATAGACATTAATCCTAGACGGCTCAAAAACCACTCTAACCTTCCCTGCTCATGTTTCCCACACTTAATAATTGTAAAACATCCTGACTAAGAAAGCTTGTTATGACAGTGTGGCAACATACGAATGAGACAAATATTTATCAATGTGCTGTCATGAAAAAGAAATGAGGAAAATAAATAAATTAAAAAAAACACTTAATCACTCATATTCACTTCAGTTGTTATGGGAAATTCTTATGTGGCTTTACTTACTCTAATCTGCATGTAGTCTAATATTAGTGTTTTATGCATTTATTCGCACTGCATTTTTTCTCCATTTCATTAGCTTTAGAACATGTGCCTGTCCCATTTCTATGAAAATAAAATTTAACTCCTCTTAAGCTGTTTATAACACGTAAAAGAAGGAATGCCAAGGCAGAGATGATTCCTCAAGTTAGTTACAATCTGAAAGCAAAAAGACAAATCCCTCCGATATGGGCAATGAAACTCCTTGTTTTCCTCTTTTTCCTGTACATCTACTGCCTTTCACTTCTCTAAGTAGAAGGTCTTCCCTGTTCCAGAGTGAGGCTCTGTTGGGGGCAGCAGACGCAAGTGTGAAACCCAGGCTGAAGCCTGCACTTCAAGTGGGGGGCAGGACTTTAAATTTCTATTTTCAGGAAAGCCACACTTGTTGGGTTTTATTATTATTTTTTACTCTGTTGCAAATATAATTTTGGGGGAATGTTAAACACCTATTTGCTCATAAGCCTCCAAAGAAGCCTCAGGTGTTCCACGTGCAACTTCAAGATCCTTTGGGCTCACCCCAGTACAGCTCTGGGGCTCCAAATCCATTTGCAGGCTCTGAACTGAACCTTTTCTCTACAGAACAGCCTGGAAACACGATGGTGACAGAGACATATGTCCCTACAAATGGGTCTAGACAATTCCCCGGAACAATTCCCCTGCCACCTGGAACTGCTCCATTTCAGCAGTGCTGGCAAGAGGCATCCCTGGTTCCTCCTTTGTCACCACGCAGGAGGGACCCTTTGCCAGGTGGGAGGATGGGGCTGCTTGCAGGCTGGGCTGGTGCCTTGCTTGGTAGGAGCAGGGATAGCATCTGTAATTAGGTACTGCACGGAGCAACTGGGACCGATGTGGAAAGGTTCACACATGACTGTGCTGCTTGCAGAGGGAATCTCAAAAATATCCCCAAAACCACATTGCTCTGATAATTTTAAGCATTCATGGATTTCAGACAACATACATAAGCAAGCTCTGTTTTATCGGTTATTTAAAAATGGCCTGTCCACAAAACTTGCACGTTAAAACAAGGGCCTTTTGCTGTTGGAATAAAGCTGGGAATTAAAATGGGAAAATTATGGGGAATTTACACCACACTACAACTTCACGCATAAGTTCAAGAAAAATAATCAGTATCTCTTAAATATTCTACTTGCATAACTGACAGCATTTAGCTCTGTGTGGCAGAGACACTGCAATTAATAACTGCAGTGTTTCCACTGCAGTGAGTAGCTTACACCCCTTCCCTCACACCCCTGCTTGCAAGATACGTCTCTGTACTTACTTTTGTTTTTTAGGGATCTTGATATTCTCCGGTTTGTTTTTTTTGGTTATCTCTTTTCCGTTCTTCAACCACTTGAATCTGAGCGCAGGGTAGTCTGAAGTGGTCTCACACCTTAGTACTAGCTTCTGACCCACAGCAGCCTCTTGGTTTTTCATTTCCTTCAGTTTGGGAGGCACTGCTAAAGAAATAAAAGAACATGCAGGTTATTAAACCATCCTGCGTACGAAAAACAGTGCCAAATGAAGCAGATTTAAGGTAAGCCACAGAGAGGAAAATCACAACCAGACCAGCAAAGCTTCCTACAACATAACACAACAGATAGGAGTCAATCGTGTGTTATAAATGCAATTAATGCACATAGGAGGATTTAAAGAGAAGCCGATTTGACTGTTTGGGGTCTTCCTACATGAACCTCGTGTGAGAGGTCTGCAAGCCAAATGCAGTCTCACAGTGAGCTCAAGTGAGGCTTCTGTACTTGGTATGAAGTTTTATAAAAACTTAATAGATGGTGTGTGCCTGGGCACTAGACAGAGTGCTGGGGCAGGCAGATGCAGCAGGTAATGCAGGAGGGAAAGGGAGGGAGTCGTGCTGTGTTATTTATTCCAACTGTTCCGAGCCACTGGCTCTCCAAAGGCTCCAGGTGCAACCGAGGTGATGGAGAGCTAAAAGCATAAATAATCTCCCAGCAGCTTCTCTAACCTGAGGACAAGTCTCTTGCTCCAGACAAACATTATAATACACATTATTCACCAAGCTCAAAACTCATCTTGCCCACCACCTTTTCCTGAGGCAGGAGACAGGCTTGCAAGCCCCTCGAGGGAATCAATGTCAGTTGAGGGTATTTTGGATCCAGAAGAGAAAACTGCATCGAAAATGCCCAGCCAACATTCCACACGTGCTGAAGAGGCTCTAGCTGATGCATCTCAATTTCTATAACTTTACAGCAATGGTGTTTCTTGTGTAGGTAAATCTGACATTGTTTAGGACTTTCCCAAATAAAGAAGACCCTAATACTCCACAACCAGTGCAGGTTTCTGAGCAAAAGCTTCACCATGAAATGTCATCACTCTGTGAGACTCCGTGTTACCTCATGCATTAGCTTTAAGCCAGGATCTATCCTGCTCCAGTAATGAAGTAAAAAAACTAGTTTAACCCTATATCTGCTAAGGCTCAGATTAACACATTTACTGCCCCACTGGAAAGGGCTGAAGAGGGAAGCACTGTCAGCTACAACCTACATCCCACGATGGGGAAACCTTAAACACATTGGATTATGTTTTGATATTTGTTGCTTGTGCTTTTTTGGAGACTTGCAGGCATCCTCTGCCCTTCGTAACTATTCCAATCAGGTAGAAAATCAGCAACATCACCACAGCCTTGATTTTGAGAAATATATATAAAAGAATATGTCAGAAGAACTGGATAAAGAGTGGTAGGCACTTTCCTAGTAAAAACAGGAGTGCTGCCTGCTCCACACATGAGACAACCTTTCCGTTCCCAGCATAGGGAAGTGCAGGGATTCAGGGAAGGCTTGATGTCCTGGGAAACTGATCCCACTGGGAATAACATAAATACTGTGTGGCTGGGAAAACAGGGTCTGTGAGAAAGACTGAAAGAAGGGTGGTTGCTGTGCCACCAGAGGAAAACCAGGTGGGGACAAGGCAAGCCATTGGCTAGGACAAAAAGTAACTGGCAGGAAGTCTTAGACTGGACATCAGCAATATATCTGACCAAGAGAGCAGCATATGCAGGAATCGCATGTCTGGGGAGGATGTGGAATTAATTTCCATTAGTGGAGATTTTAGTTGGTGGCAGTGGACTGCCTTCAGGCACACGAGATAAGTGCTTGGAACTTTCATGGTCAGGAAGAAATTTCCCTCAAATTCTGTTCTTATATTTTGCTTTCCATCTTTTTTTCCCCCATTTCATAATGTAAGAGATTCTAATTCATCCTTCAAATGCGATCAAAACATGTATTTTTTTTGCTTCGAAACAACTCTTTTCAGTTTTCTAAAAGCATATATACTCGTAGTGTTTGTGTGCATAGGTATATATATAGGTACCCACACATCTACAGAAGTACACATGTATAAATATTCAGACATTTACTCAAAAAGGATGAGAGAATTTTTGAAAAATATAATCTCGAAAATTTCCAGCAAAATAAGTGGCATTAATTAAGAGATGTGGTGGGGTTTGTGCTGACAGTTTCAGTCTGTCAATTGTGCATTAAGGTTATGTCTCCTGTTACCAAATGAGAAAAGCAGCTACAGAGGTACAAAATACAAAGGTAATATTTCTTATTTTAATATATCTCACTTGTAGTATTCGTGTTCCATGTCTTCGCTAGATTAAGGGAACAAATATAATTGCAGGGCTCAACATTTTTGTCTTTAAAACTTCAGCTGGTTATTGATTTTTCTGTCAACACATCAGTGTGAAACTGGGAATGAGAGGGAAATGCCATTTTCTTCCCGAACTTTACTTTAATTCAATATTATCTGCTCAAAATGACTTGCAGAATTTTTCCTCCATCAGGACTGTCAATGAAAAAAAAAAGTGTGAAATTAATATGCTCAACTCTTGCCATAATTCAGGAGTTACCAGGAAACATAAAAGAGGATTCAATCAATGGCAGTGACCCTCACTATTTCACAGTAACTTGCTGTCCAAGCATGCAGGGTCTCCAGGGAAAGCAATAAAAGCTGCTCACAGACATGTCAGAAAAGAGATTCTTAGATTCGTTTTTTCTTTTTTTTTCTTTCTTTTTTTTTTCCTCCTTTCATTCCACACTATGTTTGTTTCCTTTCAGCTACGCTTTTGCAAAAGCTAATCAGACCTGCCAGGCATATGAGAAAGCTCGTGCTGATAAAACCATAGCTTGGGTGTTTGGGCTGAAGTTGGCTACGGCTTCCATTGCTACAAGAGATAGCTGACTTTTATCACAATCTGTGACAATTTCTCCGGTTCTGGTAAGGCATGACCTTGTCTGAGGGAAGAAAGTGATTTTAAAGCAGGCACAGATCTTTATCGGTAAGGATAACTGAGCACAGATACCCCCCTTGTTTTCTATGCCTCCCAACTGGCTCCTAGGGCATCTCATGCCAGCTTGGCTCCTCTCCATCCATTTCTCCCACCCCTGCCAAATGCTCAGGGAAAAGCTTGCTCTTGCAGGGAAGAACGAGAGAGATAGGGTAAGGAAAATCCTAAAATGCATGGCAGTTAGTAGACCATGGGTGACAGAACAACTTGGTTGACATGGATGCTCAACGTGGACGTCTTGCAGCATTTCCCGCTCTTTGGATTTTGAGCATTGCCGCAGGGCCTTCGCGCGTGCCATCGCTCAAAGAGTGACAAATTCCAGAGAGCAAAGAAAATAAGCACATCCTGAAGGAAAACACTGGAAACTAACCGTGGAAACACCCCCAGTGTGGCGATGCTGGAAGGAAAGGCGCATGGGGATCTACGCGATATACATTCTTTGCAGTGGAAATATGCTGAAACTCTGGCAGGGCCTCCCAATGGAGAAGTCCATTAGTGCACGGAAAGGCACGATGTTTAACCCCGAGCTTTTCACACTCCCTGGCCAGGACCTCTCTCAGTGACCCATGGACCTTCACTGACTTGATGGCCCTTCTAAGAAAGCAACATGGGTGATAACAGGGGAGAGGGTTGTGAAAGGCCTTAAAAAGCAGTGAAGTAGTTGTGTCAGCAAAAGACCCAACTGCAGGAAGCCTGGGAAAAGGATTTAACCAATGAGAGCATGCAAACTCCTAGACCTTTGCTTACTAAGGCAGCCAAAATAGCTGTAATTCTCTAGCTTTTTTTTTCTCTCTTTTTTGGCAATGTATGCCTACTGGATGTATAACATCATCACACTCAAGGAATACATGTTTCCATATTCACTCTGCAAAAGACATGCTGATAATATATGACTGAAGATAACTTCTTATTTCTTGGAGAGTTTGGCAAGGCACAGCTATCTCCTCACTCTCAGTGTTTGATTGTACAGTTAATCTGCATGGAAGCTCAACACATTGAACAAATTAAACAGGAAATCTGCAAAATATTATCGCACAACCACACACTTGCAGCTGAAATTCCATGAAGTTTTGTTTTTTTATTTGTTTTTCCTAGGAGGGCACCAAGCCTTTAAAGTATCTGAACTCGGAAACATGTTAAGCCTTGTTGCCAATATGCAGGTGTGCATAGCTTGGTGTCCAAAATTGTGATCGACAGTTTGGTGAATGACTATGGAAGCTGCAGGAATACACGAATATTATCTATTGTATTGTCGTTGTATTTGCTTATATATATATATATATATACATATATATATATATATTTGTAGCATAGTGCTCCATGCAGGAAAGTAATATACAACAAATTACATTATTTCCCAAAAGCCTTCTTCCCTGGAGTATGAGACTGTAATCAAGCTTAGATTTATCATCAGCATGCCAGATTTTTTAAAGCCCTTGGTATAAACTCTATAAGCTATTTTTGAAATAATTTTGCTCCTGTTTAGGAAGTTAAAGAAAAGCACAATTTTTGTGGTTTTGTTTTGTTTTTAATCCTCCTATTATTATCTCAGGTGACATTTGGATTCTGAGCTTTCAAAACCTAGCTATTTCATTCCCACATGCTAAGTCTCTGTATCTATATGATAAAACACCGTAGGTGATGATAGAACATAATCCTGCACAAGTAAGCTCTCCATAATACCAGAATAACTAAATAGAAGTGCAGAAATTGCAAAATTCAGCAAGTTTTTTATCTGCTTTAATAGAAATTGCCATTGCTCAACTCTCTTGAAAATATGGTAAATATGGCCAAACATGCTTCAGCTTCTGCATCTTGGTACAATTCGAACAGTCATGGCTGTGAAGAGTAGTAAAAGAGGGAGAAAAAAAAAAGCAGAACCAACCTTTGTCTCAGCATTGCTTACAAAACCAAGATCCACATAATCTTAGTCTTCTTAGTGATGTTACAAGGAAATTTTTGCAGAAATTTTAGTTATTGTAGGTCAACAGAAGGGAAATCATATGAATGGCTTGTACCCAGAAACGGACCAAGAAACAGACCAAAAGACGGGGTGGTGGGTAGCACTCCAGCCACATGCCTTTTTGGACCAGGATAGGAACAAGTAAGTGCCACCATAAGCCAGAGTAACGCCTT